CCTCCTTCCCCTCCCCCATACAGCCCCCCTGCTCTAACCCCAGCCCCCGGACCAGCCCCGGTGCTCACCTGGGGACAGGCCCCGGCCGCGCTGCTCCGCCCCGCCAGGCCCCGGCCGCACCAGGCCGCCCCCTGTAGTAACATCCCGGCTGCGGCGCCCTGACAACCCGCCTCGGCTCCGCATAACCAGCAACTTCCTCAGCCAATAGCCACATCGGTTCCGCTCAGCGCGAACCAATAGTTGCGGAGGGGGGCGGTCCCTGGGGACGCGGGCCAATGGGAGAAGGGGATTGGAGGGGGCGGGGCTCCGGGGTCAGCCGGAAGCGGGGGCAGTCGGGCACGAGGAGGACTAGGAGGCGCACGTGGCTCTCAGTCCCGATGGGCAAACAGCCGCCGCCGCCGCGGGGGGTCCGGGCGGCGCCGGGTCCTTCGGGCCGCGGTGCTCGGGGGCAGCCGCGCAAGGGCAGGTCGGTGCCGCCCCGGGCTCGGTATCTGGGCTCGATGCGGGAGGGGGGGTGTCCCCTACGGGCTCTGCGGGGGCGGCCGATCTGCCGCGCCTGTCACCGCGGCGCCTGGTCCCTTCCCTCGACCTTAACGCGGCCCATCGCGCTGGGCTAGTGCGAGCTCCTGCCTAGCGGACATCCTACCCCCGCCTCCAGTGACGCCTGCAGCCAGCCTCTGAAGTGTGCGACTGGCGCCGCCTTATCGCCCTGGGATGCCCTCGCCCGCTCTGGGCCTTGCCTTGGGAATCTGCCTCCGGGCAGCCACTACACCCCTGTCCCCGCCACGTGTCGTGAATGTGGGACTCTTGTTTTACCGGCCGGTAAGGCAACACCCCAGTCCAGCCCCTGAGAAGAGGGGTGCAATGTTGTGTAGCTGTTGGGCCCAGGATAGGAGAGAGACAAGGGAGGGGAAGGTAATATCTTTTGTTGGCCCAGCTTCTGTTGGTGAGAGAGAGACAAGCTGTCAAGCTTACACAGGCGTAAGAACTGCCATAGTGGGTCAGACCAAAGGTCCATCTAGCCCAGTGTCCTGTCTTCCACCAGCGGCCCGTGCCAGGTGCCCAGAGGGAATGAACAGAACAGGGAATCATCAAGTGATCCATCCCC